ACACAATGAGACTTTTCCACAGCTTTTTTTTCATAAAATTTGAAATTTTCTTTTTGTTTTTGTTTTGATATGGAACACTCCAGCTTTTCTCTTTTATAGCACTGAATTCTTATTCAAGAAAATTTCAAATTTTATGAAAAAAAAGCTGTGGAAAAGTCTCATTGTGTTCATTGGTTCATGCTTGTGTGATTGGATCATCAAATTGTTGTTATGCACTCTAAGAAGAAAAACATATGATATATAATAGATAGGTTAAATAATGTCATTCTTGAAAATATTTATAGAAATTCAGTTTCATTACCTTTTCATTGATATGTAGCTTGTATTTGTAGGCTTCTAATATTTCACTTGTCCATTTTTCATGAATTACATGCCCTAATTTAGTAATTGCTATACATTTATCAATCTCATGTGGATAAGAATCATAACGTTCTTCAAATGTATAAGCAATAGCTTTTGATATTGACCATTGACATGACGATGATTTATAGGGTCGATGAGCACAGGTACATAATGAAGTATCAATTTCATCAAATTTCAGATACTGATGACATTGTATAGAATGACGAAATATACGATTATACCATGGTTTAAATTTTAATTGAATATCAATTGCTTCCGCTTGAAGAACTGCCTCGTATGTAAATAGACCATATTGTGTATATGGCATCATTAAATCACTAAGATTACCCCACGTTTGAATTGTTTTCGAAGAGTGAAAGATAATAGTAAAGAAATTACTGAGTATATCATAATAGTATGAGTTTCTATCATTTTCATTTGAATATTCAATGAGTGCAACCATTGTGTATGAGTCTTGAATTAATTCAACCTGTATAAACATATAATTTGAAAATAATGAACCTATTTTAGGAACTATTGTAAATATTTTGGTTTTTGCAGCTTCACTAAGGAGCTCATCCAAGACAAAGTGTGCTTGTGTTCGATGTATATAAAATAACACGAAAGGTTTTATTGGTTGAAATTGTGGTAATTCATTTAGAGTTCGATTGATATTAGTAGTAACCGTTGTTTCTTTCTTGGAAACTATGGAAAAATTTTGTTGCTGTTGTCTTTGATAGTAATTCATGAAAAATAAAGCGATAATACCAGTAAATATGATTATGGATAAAATGTATATTGTTTGTATACATTTTTCTAATTTTAAGACAATGTTTTCATATTGATCCTGTTTTGTTTCATTACATTCGACAGCATCGAAAGTAGTGATAGATAAATAAAGAATCGATAGTGAGAACAACAAATAAGAGTATTGTTGCATCGTTATGTTATTCGAATAGATCTATAAGAAAAGGAAAAAAGAGACAAGCAATATGAAGAGTTATAAGTAACATTTTTGAGAGTGTATTAAAATTTTATAGTGATATATTTTTGATAAAAGTCTAGCTATAATAAAAGTATCATAATAAGACACATGTAAGCAAAAAAAAAACAGAATAATATAATATGTATGACTTGTAATGGATGGCTAAAAATCAAGCTTTGGAAATATCTAAATGAATAGAAACATAAAAAAAGAAATATTTAAAATTGACTTCTCTCACTTCATGTGTGTGTGTTCAATTGAGTTAAGAGTGTATTTGAAGAATAGCAATGTTTAGTAATCAATTTCACTTTTAATCCATATTTTTTAAACTGTGAATCTTGCTCGAGAATTTCAGACCAAAGTTGATAGAACTTTCCATTAAATTGACATCTTGAACCCCAATCGAACAAATAATGTAATTGAATTAATTGACGATTCTTGTGCAATTCCTGTTCTTCTCCCAGATCATGTCTTTGTTGGTCAACGTAACGAAATAATTCCCGATGAAATGCAAGATATTTAAATCGATTGAGATGCATTGGTTCATTTGGTTTAGGATTAAAACGTGAAAAGAATTGTCTCAAATGATATTCGACAAAGTCTAACGAATATCCATTAGCAAGAAATGTTAATTCCAGATAAAGTCGTTCTTCTTCGAAATCTTCGAATGAACTACAATATTGACCGGCACGTATTAGAGCAGCTCGAAACCATTGACGATGAAATAATCGTGGATGAGTATGTGCATAAGGTAATAAAAATGGTTGACTTATTGAATCATGAGAAACACGCGTATATAAACGACCATTCTGATTTTCGATAAAGGCATGAAGAAAATGAACATCACTACCAATAAATGTGGTCATTTGAAGATTTGAATCTAGTTCTTGTTGAAGTTCGTCAAATATTATCTGTAATTCTTCGATGGATGCATTCCAGGTTATAAAACCCATATCATTATATCGACCATAGAATACATCTTTCATACGAACATTTCTAACTAAAGGTACTTGCCAATGATGTAAATAGATACTAGCCAATAATTCTGTTAATGGTAAATTTAATGGAGATCCTTTAATAAATCGATAAGCTTTTCCATTATATGTGAAAGTATTATTTTTTAGAACTAGACTAGTTAATTCAACGATAGCATCACTTGATAATCTTTGATGTCGACCAGTAATAAGTGGACCCACTAAGAATGAATGCAATGCATCAAGAAGAGCGGTGTGTGATATCTTCGTATATAAATCATAAATTTTAAATGTTGCGACATGTGTTTCTGGTAGAAAAAGATTTGATTGTATATAATAATGTTGAAGTTTTTGCATAAAATCACCACTATTCAAAAATGTAGTTGATCTAGAAAAAGAATAAAATAATGGGCGAAGAAGTTGATCTAGATATTGTGCCAATTGTTGTATTGGGGAATGTTGATAAGATGAAAATCTTGGTTGAACTGACATATGGACATCTTCATTTGTTTCTGGTAAGAAATAAAGATATGGCAGTATGAACTTTAATCTCTTATTGATGCTAAATTTGGTTAAATGATCTTTATTAATTAATTTCTTTTGATATAATTGTTCTAGTTGAGAATTGATAGATATGATAATTTCATGTAACTGTTGCTGTTGTTGTTCTGTATGAGTTCCATCTGTTGTTCCAATTAGTTCATAACAGGTTGAATTTTCAACATATTCATCCGATTTTTGATTAAATTCATCTAATCGACCCAGATAATATGTATTCATCTCATCGGCTGTTCGTCGTAGAATAAGTTGATCTTTTTTCAAATGATATCGAATTGATTGAATCAACTGTTTTTCATAGAGTGTACGCTCTTCAAGAACACCAGGTATCGATCGAAGGAATGAATCATTGAATGATAATTGAATCTCTTTTTCAAATTTCATTCGTCGAGAAAGATCAATTGAATATTTAGTAAATAATTTTGTGAGTTCTTGTCGAATTGGTGCCATTTGTTTCGTAACGATTTGAGCCAACGTTAAAGACGATTTTGATAAGATATGTATTTGACATGGTGGAACATAGGCTGGTCCACGATCGAGAAATTTTACTTGTTCTCGTGATAAACGATGTGGTGTATCTTGTATCACTGTTGGTGAACAAGTGATGTTTGATTTTTGGATAAGAATGCTCCGACGATCGATCCAATCTAATTCTTGACCGTCGGAGCTTTGACGAAAAAACGTAATTTTAATTTGTAAAGACGCATAAGACGTTCATTTATATTTTTGAAACGTCGTTCCATAATATCCAACATTGTTCGAGTTAATTTTTTATCAGATGGATCAGTATGTTGATTTTCTTTCATTTTAGCCAAGTCAATATCGAATTTCTTTTGATATTCATTCATTTTTGTTTCGACTGTTGCAATATAAACCATCATCATTTCAGATTTTGTCCGTTGTAAAATTTTCTCATATCGATCAGTTAAACGTTGACGAATATATGTATCAGTAATTGTATCCAATGATATAGGTGCAGGTATTTGCAGTGATTCAAATGATTGTGGTAAATGATTATAAACAATACGTTGTTTCAATATAGCAACATCAAATTTAGCTGTTTCTTTTTCATATTTAGCTCGAGTAAGATCTTCGAAAATTTGTTTTTGATATTCATTTGGATTTTGTTGCTTATATTCTAATTCGATTAATCGGTCATTATAATCATATTCCACTGTAACAATTTGTCCTTCTATGGGTACTTTATATAAAGGTATAATATGTTGTTGAACAAATTTCATAATAGCTTCTTCTATTTCACATGTCCAACAGTTGTTTAAATGTTGCTTTCTTTCTTTCAGTTGAGCTTGATAATGTTCGGTTTGACTTTGAAATTTTCGTAGCACTCTCTGGACATAATCCAAACAAGAATCATAATCTATTTCATTTGGATCAGATACAGTTGTTCGACCACGAGTAATCATTTTTGTTTTGACTTCTGCAGGCCACAAAAAGAGTGTAGTTGTTGCTTGTGGTTTTAATGTACCTGTACCAGAACGTAAATATGTAGTCCATAGTAATCTGTCCAGATCGATGCATTCAAGTTGATGAATAAGAAGAGTAATCTCTCGTAAATATTCAATACTGATAGAACTTCTTGTCTTTTGAAGTACAGGA